ATGGATGGATGGATGGATGGATGGATGGATGGATGGATGGATGGATGGATGGATGGATGGTAGATGGGATTGGTGGGTGAATGGATGGATGGATGGATGATAGATGAATGGAGGATGGATGGAGGATGGATGGATGAATGCATGGATAGATGCTTGGTGGATAGATGGATGATGGATGGATGCATGGATAGATACATGGATGGGATTCATGAATGATGGATGGATGGAGGATGGATGCATGGATCGATGCATGAATGGATGGAGAATGGAAGGATGGATGGATGATGGATGGATGCATGCATGGATAGATACATGGATGGCATGCATGAATGGAGGATGGATGGATGGATGGAGGATGGATGGATGGATGAATGAATGGAGGATGGATGCATGGATGCATGGATAGATGCATGGATGGATGGATGATGGATGCATGAATGGATGATGGATGGATGGATGGTTGGATAGATGAATAGATGATTTGTAGCTTGTACCATTAGAAATATTTCCCTAGCTTCTAGATGGCTCACAAGTGTTCCTTGTGCTAGTGGCCATCATCACTCCATTTCTCCCTTGGTTTCTTCTCATCATCCCTTTGTTCACAGATCCAAGCGGAAGTTACTGGGTTGGAAGGAACCCACTGACTCCTTTGGCAACCGACCAAATTCCCAGATGCCCACCAAGACCATCGCAGGGCTTGTGATCAACGAATGCCCTTCCAGCACAAGCAGAACCTCCAGCAAGAACGAGGACTTTAAGGCTCTCCTTCAGAAGAAAGGGGGCAAAGGAGCCTCAGGCATCCGAACATCTGCAGCCGAACTTCTCAAGACCACCAATCCTTTGGCTCGGAGGGTCATGACGGAGTTTACCGTGGACGGGACAATCCCAGGCTCCAAAATCCAGCCCTGAGTTTCTTTTAAAGAACTCTTCTTTGCAGTCTATGCCCCTTATACTTCTCATCCTCTTCCGAGTTGATGTTAGGAGTAAGTCTGTTTCCCCTTGAAGCTTCAGCATTCCTGGTTGATTTGTTCCCCGCAGCCAAAACTTTTTTCTGGGTTTTTAATGGGCAGGGAGGATGGTTGGGTGAATCAGTGAGGAAGAGGATGAGGAGATGACTCTCTAGATTCAAGAAAAGTGTCTTAAATGAAGAGCACACCCATCATCCCTCGTGGAACTTGCCCCACACTTCTCCTCTTAAGAGACCGAATTTTTCTTTCCTTTCCTGGGTTAGACCAAGAGAACTTGCACAATGGATGTATCTAGAAAGGGCTACCACAGGTGGGTGTCAGAGTTAGGCCTTTCCTCCCTGATTGCATGAGGAACAAAATCTCTCTCCTTCTCCTTCTCTCTTCCCTTCTTTCTCTCTTCCCTTTTTGCTCACTTTCCTTCTTTCTCTCTCTCTCTCTCTCTCTCTTTTCTTTTTCCAGGTGTACAAAATTGGGAGCTCCTCATGTTTGATTTCTTCTCCGCAACAGCTAACTTGGAACTGTCCAGTTTCTTTGGCATGTGGTACTTTTAAGTGCTTGTAGGATTATAATATGCAGCTGTTGTGGCTTTTCTTCTTTTTAAACACACACACACATAAACACAAAATCTGGGTTTTTTATTTTTAATTTTCAACTTTAGGTTTGCAAAACTTTTTAGGAGTTTTGACCAACGAGTCACTTTAGAGAGACGAGGCTGAAAACTAAGAGTTGTCTTTTGGGTACAAATGCTTTTGTCCAATTGATGAAATGTTGTCGAACGCAGGTACAGATGGGGTAGAGCTTGCGTCACAACAATGCAACACTGCTGTTGTTGCTTGCTCTCCCCTTGATGGCTCCACACAGAGGATGAAAACTGCTTAACAGGATATCCCTAGGGAGATACTAATCTGAAAACTAATTTGAAAGAGAATGGAGAAAAAAAGATGGAGATAAATATTGGTGGGGTTTTTTTCCCCCTCCCTTGTCAAAGCGAAGTTGGAAGAATTTCCAGGTCTTCTTAAACGAGTTAATGGGATTTCTATATTTCTGGTCATGCAGAGGCTGTCCTTTTTCCATACGTATTTTGGGAAACTGCATAGATCACTACTGGCAAAGAATTCCTTTTCTCAGCCCTCTCCCCAATTGTCTTTAAAGAATACTCCCTGCCAACATACTGGTGCACTTTGCATATTTATATATAACTTAGGGGTCGGCAACCTTAAATACTCAAAGAGCCACAAAGGTCCTAACCGAAAGCCCTCCGTTCAATTCTGGAGCCGACCGGAAGTCCGGTTCCCCCACCATAGAGTCTCCTCCTAGTGTGCCGTCCTTTTTCTTCTGCCATCCGGAAGTCTGGTTTTCCCCACCATAGAGTCTCCTCCTAGCATGGCATCCTTTTTCTTCTGCCATCCGGAAGTCCAGTTCCCCCACCATAGAGTCTCCTCCTAGTGTGCCGTCCTTTTTCTTCTGCCATCCGGAAGTCTGGTTTTCCCCACCATAGAGTCTCCTCCTAGCATGGCATCCTTTTTCTTCTGCCATCCGGAAGTCCAGTTCCCCCACCATAGAGTCTCCTCCTAGCGTGGCATCCTTTTTCTTCTGCCATCCAGAAGTCTGGTTCCCCACACTATAGAGTCTCCTCCTAGTGTGCCGTCCTTTTTCTTCTGCCATCCGGAAGTCTGGTTTTCCCCACCATAGAGTCTCCTCCTAGCATGGCATCCTTTTTCTTCTGCCATCCGGAAGTCCAGTTCCCCCACCATAGAGTCTCCTCCTAGCGTGGCATCCTTTTTCTTCTGCCATCCAGAAGTCTGGTTCCCCACACTATAGAGTCTCCTCCTAGTGTGGCGTCCTTTTCCCCCTACCTGTCCTAACCAAAAGCCCTATCAATTGTGGAGCCAACCGTCGACAGGGAGCCACAGTAGAGGGGTGAAAGAGCCACATGCGGCTCCAGAGCTGCCGGTTGCTGGCCCCTGCCTTAACTAGTCCATTGAATCTGATGCATACAAAAACCAGTAGGTTAGCCCCCAAACCCTCATCCTACCTGTTCAGCTATGATCTCCTCTGTTGTGCCATGACTTGCATGTCTTATTTCTTATTTTATTTTTTTTTGCTTAGGGCCTCGTTTTCTACTCCCTCGGCGAATGCATTAGGCAGAGGCAACAGAAACCAAGCTGAGGATGATAG